GATGGAGGAATCGGCGAAACATAAAATAGATTCGTAATTGGCGATAGATTTTGGGTCTATTGTTGAGCGCCAGGCCTGCCTAGTCCTGTACTATTTCATTCTTATTTTTATTAATGTCTTATGGGGGTTGTTGAGGTCTATGTAAAGGCAGGTTTCTCTTTTTTTACTGCCTAATCCCATACTGTGTTATTTTCATTTTTTTACATCATGTGGTGGATATTAAGTATTTTTTGTATATAAAGATATATATATTTTTTCTTTTTTACGACTTTTATATAAATAGTTTTCATTACTGTTTTACGAACTGTGAAGATACTTTTTAAGAGCCGTGAGCTAATGCTTTATGACCCTTTTAAAGAGTTTTCTGCATATGGTTAATGGCCTTTTTTAGGAGTTTCCAGTACTTTTATTGACCTTTTAGGGAGTTGTGAACGGCCAATGTCAGAGAATTAATTAATAAATGCGTAACTTTTAAAAAAGAATTATCGCTTAGTTTCGAGGAGAATAATCAGTAACCTTTTACGAGTCGCATGAACGGGCGGCTGGCTATCTACACAATAAACATGATTTATTTCAAAAAGGTCCCACAAAAGGGAATTAAAAAATCGTATTTTGAAGCAGGCAGTGATTTTCTTTTTTCGCCGAAATGTTGTGCGAACCAATTGTATTTTACGATTACACATTCTCTCCCTATCAGATACAATATAAAAAGAATCCTTGATACACCTTGTTCTGAAAAGTAACTTCTTTCGTTATCAAGAAAACGATAAACGAAATAAGCAGCAAAATGAAAGACGAAAATAATAAAACGAAGCTTTAAAAAAATCATATTTCGTACGAACACCTGAGTCTCAGTCATCAGAAAAAAGGTTCAAAGAAAACCCTAGAGCTTGAGCAATACCTCAGTCGAGCTTTCATCCGCTCTGAGTGGGGGCCGGCGTGACCTCTTGTTTCCAGGTCAAAGCTGTGACCAAATAGGTGATTAACGAGTCTAAAACGAGTCCTAACCGAGCGGATACCTCGGTCATCTAATAGCTCGTTCACTGAATTATCCTCCCCGCGTAAGCATGGAAGGCGCAAGTGATCGAATATCCCGTAATATTGACAAATATTATCCCATATTAGGTGTACGCTGGGCGGGGTTAGCGGGCAATCAGCTGAGGGAGTTCGGGAGACGGGGACGAGAAGGTTCAGTGGGCTGGAGACCCTCGTGACGAACGCACGTGGAATTCTGGGCTCTTTGGCCTCTCTCGCTCGACACCGGGTAAGGCGGGGGAGAGACTGTTCGAGTAAACGTGGGACTCTGTTGAACGGAGAGGAAGTGAGACTGAGAGACAGTGAATGCGTTCATTCTTTTTCGTTTGTTGCGATACAAGTAAAATATGAATTTCTCGTTTTTTGGGGTATGGTAGAATTTGTCTTTTTAAGAATTTGTGAATATCGAATATGGCCTATTAAAAAGGCGGTTAAGGATTACTCTTGCACTTATTCGTTTGATCTTTCTCTCGCCCGACAGATGTTCAGGCTCGCCTAATCATGGGAAGACGTCACATGGCAGTCCTTGAGCTCTGAAACGCGACGGCCGCCGAGCGAGCGCGTCGAGTGATGTGAACACGAGCCAGGCAGCGATCCAATCTCTCGCGTCGAGCGGACACACTCTGAAGCAGCAACCATGGCCAAGTCGGAGGAGCAGGTGGTCGAGCAGGACCGCGCGGCGTCGCTGGGGAACAGCGTCGACGACAATAACAATGACGACAGCAACAGCAGCAGCGGCAGCAGCGACGACGGCAGCAAGAGCCAGGCGATCGAAGCCTCGGGAGGCAAGTACCAGCTGCGCCCTCGCTCGCTGCACGCGCGGCGCCTCTGCGACGGCGGCGACTGGAGCTTCCAGGACGCAATAAGGAGCAAACCGCGTCCTCCGCCGCTGTCCAGGTACCGCAGGAAGACCGCCAACGCCAGAGAGCGATACCGCATGCGGCAGATCAACACCGCCTTCGAGAGCCTCCGCGGCGTCCTCCCCTCGTGGGTGTGCAGTCGCCGCGCCGCCTCCGACATGACCAAGATCGCCACGCTGAGACTCGCCTCCGCCTACATCCGGTCCCTGCAGGACATCCTGGACGGCAACGCCCCGCAGGACACGTGCTCGTGGGTCCTCTCCAGCATCCTGCAGGACGCGTCTCGGCCACACGACGACCCCGAGAGGAGCAGCAGCGCCTCCAAGGCCCCCGGGAGCGACGACGCGTGCGCGCACTCGGAGGCCGACCTCGTGTCCCTGCTGTGCGGCTCCTCGGGCGCGCAGGACGGCCTCGAGTCGCTCTCGTACCTGGCGCCCATGGCCGAGAGCGACACCGTGACGCTGCTGCTGCTCGAGTCCGACTCGCACAGGCACTGGAGCGACCAGCACCCGCCGAAGGGGAGGGCGGACCGTGTCTGGGCTAGTGATAGTGTCCTTCGCTGCGCGTGTGCGGCGAGTGTGGTGTCGCAGGAGGGAGTCGTCTGA